CTTCCTCAGGGCTGTAGTTCATACAGGGCGGGAGAAGTTCCCTTATAGCTGGCCATTGCTCTGCATCCGGCACCAAGCCCTAGTCATCGGGCGTGGCCGGTCAACGAGAGTTTTGCTTTCCTTGCCATTGGTGGTTAGGCTCCTGCTCCTACTCTCAGTCTCGGAGTCAGTCCTCCTCTCATGAACACACTCCTCCGCCAGAGATGCTTTTCCCCGGAGAACTGATCCTGCGATACGAGTGGTTATGAGGAGGGATTTCAATGAAAAAATATTGATTTTTTTTCAATTAATTTTTTATGCCATCCATCTCCCTGACAAGGTGACTCTGTGCAGGTTACAAATAATATAATTTACAGAATTGTCTTTGTGTATTGTTTATTATTTCAGTTTTTCTTTCTTCGTTCCTTCTCTTGTCTTCAATTTTATTAATCAAATATCTTTAAAGTGTAGAGGAGATGTATTTTGATTATAAAAAGGATATGAAATGGCTTATAGTGTTATAAAATTTTAATTATGTGCTATACTATTTTAATTATACCTTAAATTTATTGATTCACTGCTCATTTTTTAGAGTTATATTGGGGTTTTTTTTAAATCTGCATTATCTATTTTTACATTCTTTTAAATTTGTACTTATCTTGGTACTATCTTTTATATTTTTTTTATCCCACCTTTATTTTATTTTAATAACTCAGGGCAGTGAACAAGCACAATACTCTTTCCTCCTCCGTTTTTTCCCCACAACAACAACCCTGTGAGGTAGGTTAGGCAGAGAGAGAGAGAGAGAGACAGAGACAGAGACAGAGACAGAGACCCAAAGGTAGTTTTCATGCCTAAGGTAGGACTAATACTTAGTCTCCTGGTTTCTAAGCTGGCATCTTCATCATTATACCAAACAGGTTCAAAAATATTCATGCAATGAATTAAGCTGATTAAACCCAGAAATACATTTTTTATATATTTTCCTTTTTGTTCCTCAGTGTCATGCACAGATGACATTAAGTCAAAATAGAAATAGAAAAGAAAAAAGGAAATAGAAAAGACTCAGTTTGATAGTAAATGATGGTTATGGAAGGATCAGGATGAAACATTTGACCATATAATAATTGGATGCAGCAATATTATAGAAGTTGCTTACAAAAGAGGACATGTTTGGATTAGGATGATATTATACTGGCATTGATGTATAAAGTGCAGGTCACAGTCCATAAAAACTATTTGAAACGTGAAATGGGAGGGTGTTGCACATGGCAGAGCAAAACTTTTAAGAGATTTTAAAATTCTGACTGATTGACACCTAGCATACCAGGCATTATTATCAATGAAAAGCCATGTTTGGTTAACTGATGTACCTATTGTAAGAGACAATAATTTTGAATACATATAAATGGAAAAGACTGCAAAATAGGGTTTGCAAAAATCTGGCTGACATTGGGGGACTAGGTCTAAGTACCACAAGGACTTTGAATTTGGACTGCCTAAATTTTGAACAAATTATGACAGCCTAACTATAAACAAAAGCACTGTTGAATACTCCATACATATTTAAATGTTATATTTACTATTCGTAAACTCTTGAGTAGGGCTTGAATCTGAAGAAGAAAACTTGCCAACATCAGTTGTAACACCATGATCGGTGGAATTGGATCGATGATGATAGACATTTGCTATAAATACAAGACCTAATATAAATTATAATTTCAGTATGTAAAATTTACATTATTTTAAAAGCTACTGTATATTTATGGCTATAATATGTATTTAATATTAAGGAGTGAATTTCATATTCAGAGTTCCTTTAGATCAGTGGTGGCGAACCTATGGCACGCGTGCCAGAGGCAGCACTCAGAGCCCTCTCTGTGGGCATGCGCGCCGTCGCCCCAGTCCTAGGCCTTCAGCTGGGTTTTATAAAACCTTTTCGCTTTAGGCCTCCGCCGCCGTGTGCAAAAAAAAGTTCAATCAATTTCAGCTTCTCGCAGGAAAAAAAAAAGATCTTGCAAAGTTGGAATTGATTGATTGAACTTTTTAGTCCCATCCAGTCTGCTGTTACCACCGCAGCCACGCCCACCCAATGGGCCACACTCAGTTAATGGGCCACACCCAGCCGGCACTTGACGATGCATAAGTGGGTTTTGGGTTGCAGTTTGGGCACTCAGTCTCTAAAAGGTTCGCCATCACTGCTTTAGATCTTTCTTTCATTATTTCCCATTATAATTCATTGTAGGTGTCTCAGGTTAGATAATGACTATGTGGGTTTCCCAAGGAATACCTTTTTTATATATACTATTTTTGATATCCTATTACTTCGAAGTTTCTGCTTGAAACTTCCATCACAACACTAACTTTGGTTGTGTTGTATTTTGCGAGATGAACATCTGTGCAATTAAAAAAAAATGGATGGAGATCAACAACTCTATCTACCAGACCAGCAATTTTTTAGCTTCCAATGAAATGGTTTATGTATGAACCTGTCATCTAAAGGGGAGAAAGTTGGAATCCTATTATTTAATCTTTTCTCCTTTCCTATTTCCAAAAAATAGAACTGATTACAGTACAGCTCAGTGTGTCAACGTCTCAAACATTGCTCTCTGTCACTGTGACAAAAGCCTGGCATTTGTTTGCTGCTTTTATCAGCTGCTCTTATAGAAACCACAGCGGAGAACCAGGCCAATCTCCCTCCTTGTCCAATACAATCACTGTATCATATAAAACAGGATGCACAAGCAGAAAGCCATTTATGCACTTTTTTTTTAGAAGAGACTTTAGGGGGGCCTCTGAATCACACACGT